CCTCATTTAGCTTTCACACTTTGCTCGATTTTGAGGCCAGCTTATCTAAACCACCCTAATGAGTATTCAGGTGGGCTCTCACTTCCCAGTGAGGGTAACACTTCAGTATGATTGAGGTACCATCATTCCTCATTTCGCCTACTGTTCCTCATTCTGGCGACACAGTCATCACGAAATACAAGCTATAAATGAGCAGCAGTAAACAGACTGCTAAATGAATTTTCTCAAACTATTAATTTGCTAAATAAACATTCTTGTAAAAATATCCAGTCCAAACGCTTGGGTCAACCGTAATTCGTAGTTTGTCTCTCCGTTTACGCAGCTAGCGGCTTTTCCAATTGCTTTGACCAGTGCTCCACTGACTGCTGGTCAGCCTACTGGTAGATGTCGCCCCTTCCTTGGAAACAGTAAAAAAAATGTAACACGGTACCTAGCTAGGATACTTATCCCCAGTTGCCAGGAAAAATTCCATGACTTAAACTCGTTGCTGAACAAATCTGTGCTACGTGTGGTCGTTGTTTCGCTGCACTGCAAAGATTAGTAGATTTGGTTGTCTTGGTAGACATTCCACTAGCTTCCAGCTTAGTTTGTGCTGAGAACTTAAAAAAAGGAACTTTCAGTCCAGGGCAGTATTTGATGAGTTATCAATTGGTTTTTATGCCACTTAAAAGCTGAAGGAGTGAAGAATTTCACGTTTTTATTTTTTTTTTTTCTTTTGTATTTAGGGCGATGCATCCGCAACGTGAATCAATAATACTGGACGATCCAATAACCGAATTTTATGAAAAAATTCTGGATCTTAAAATGTCTCAGATGAAGGTCTCTGAAGCAGATTTATTATTCTCAAACACATTTTTTTTTGCTCTTTTTTCATTTGCCCATTTAAAAAAAGTTACTTTTATATTTTTTCCTTGAAAAATTGTACTTGGTAGTTCCTTTTCAAGTCCGAAAGACAAGGGAAGGTAAGTTCAAACAATTTGAGTCCGTGAATAAAAGCCAAAAAAACTGAATCTGTGCGACGGGAAATTTTTTTTATCTTATAAAAATCCATCCTTAACGGTGGAATTTATTTTCATGTTTTTTCTCAACAGACTGTAGTTAATAGTTTCTTTTTAAATCCGAAAGTTAATTAGTAGATTTAAAGATTTGTTAAAAACCACAAACTAAAGTCGACAATAATACATGAAATCGCCTCTTTGGTCATCAACTCGGGGAAACTGCAGCTTAGACACAACAGGTCCTCGGCAGTACCGCTTTGGTTCCCATGGAACAAAATCGCTTTGTGCAGTGAAAAATGCAGCATACATACTGTGAGCTTTATCCCTAAATTGAGGAAGGCAAGGAAAGGGTTTTTTCGGAGATCAAAAATGAGTTCAGTGGAGACATTTAACAGAGTCTTTCAAGAAAGTGACTGCAAACTGTTTTTTAGATTTTTTTTTACAGTTTAAGAGATAATTTTCATTTTGTAGCTCCAGTGTAACGTCCCACCAGTCAATTTTAGCGGCACGTTGCAAAACTTGACTTTTGGGAACATGCAGGAGACAGAAGCATTTTTTTTTCGATCCGAACGAAACACTTCACCTTTTTTTCGACCCGAATATAACAGCACTCAGTAGGAACTCAATTTTTATGCTAATTTTCATTTATGAATATTTTAGGGTAGTGTTGCCGACGAAGTGTACAAAGAACAAGCGGAAAGCAAGCGAGAAGAGATCAGATCGGCCTATTCCCAACCAGGTGCTTAGCTGCTAATTCGACGCTTACTTTCCGCATTAGTCGGCCAGGCTATTAGCAGTACTACTGATATCGAAGGCCACATCTGTTTACAGGCCACATCTCCATCGACTTCATCACGCACGTGAGCTAGTCCTCGACAGCGTCCGAGTGGTTGACACGGTTTGACAATCGGCAAATTGCGCAACATGCCCTTTTCACAGCAAATGTTTTGCCCAGTCGCTTCAATAACCTTTCAACATTACAACCAGTTAACAGCAGCATACTCTGTTTTGTGTGCATTTCTGCTCTCCAGTTATATGCCTCATATGTATTTTCACAAGATATGACAAAATTTTTTCATCCAAACTTGATTGGCCGCTTGACTAGAATGAGAGATAACAGATGGACAAAGCGCACTGTCGAATAGTGCTCAATGTCAAAAGAACACAAAGGCTACCAATGACGTGAAAAGTATCGCTAAAACGGCTAGTCCAACTGTGAAAATGAAAGAGGCCCAAGAAAAAGAGTAGTTGTCAATTGCATCAGTGACAACAAAAAAATAACACTAAACAAAGTGCAACGAAAA